CTGGACTAACAAGATGGGAGCTGACCAGGGACTATCTGATTTCTCGACTATCCCTTCCTTGATTAGGCCATCCATGACCTTCTCCATCTCTTGTTGCTTTGCCGGAGCTATTCTTCTTGGAGAGATATTTATTGGACGGTGATTGCTTGTGTTTATTTTGTGCTCCACAAGGTCTGTGCAGCCGAGGTCATGATCTCCTTTCGAAAAGACGTGTGCATAATTCGCCAAAAGTTCTCTAACCTGAAGAGCCTGATGACAAATGGACTATTCTCTTCTTATAGAGGTCAGTTAAATGTTCTGGAAGTGTATATCCTTTCTTTATAGTTGTTTTTCTTGCTTTAACATTGACTGGCTCTACCTCTTGGCACACACCCAAAAATGCCCCTTCCTTAAGTGTCTGCTCACATTTAGAGAAATTGGCCACTGTAAAATGTACTACTTGATGACCTGCCACAAGTGACCTTCCAATCTTCAAATCCACTGGCCTTGATGGGTCTTCCCCTGCTTCCACAAGCATTGGGCTTCCTTGGGGATGTTATTTTATTCTACCCCAAATTATCTTCTCTGACACAGGGGGTATTGTGGTTGACTTAAGTGCTGTGACATGCAAATCAACAGATGTAGCAACACTTACTGGAATTTAGCCTTTGTTTTTTCAATCGTCATTTTATCGAAGTTAACTACACACTTCCTCGGTAGTAAGTAGTCCAACACTAATATGCATTGGTCTTCAATGTCAGTCAAGTATACGTTGTGTCTGTCTTTCATGCCCATGAGCTCAATAGTTACCCACACTGGTCCCCACAACCTTGCATAATGTCCTGTCACACCACAGAGCTTATGTACAGCTTCTGGTACTTCTTTGTGATCCAGCACCTTGATACTCACAAGTGTTTGCTAAGATGCAGAATCTATGACAAAGTTGCACCTTTGGCCATCCAGCTTTCCTGTCACATAGACACTATGTGTGCTTGCCATTTCACACTTAGCTGTTGGAACTTTCACAATGGGGGTTGGTGGGCGTCCCTCAGCACCAACCACTACTGTTTCCCGAAGCTGACTTATTGGTAGTATTCTTCTTACACTGGCTCCTCATATGTTCTTGCTCTCCACAGTTCCAACAACCTTTCTGGGTAACAGCCTTTCCGGCTGTGACATCTTCCCTGTGTTGAAGTTTCCAGCATTGAGCTCCCTTGTGCCCAGGTTTATTAAAGTGCCAGCAAAATTCCTCAAACTTCTCTGAAAGCTGCCGTTTTCTGGCCTTGAATCCAGATGACTGTGCCAACCTTGGTATCTCTGTGCTGGACTTAACGTAAGATTCAAATTCAAGAACTCGGGCCATTGCATCCTGCACAGTAGAGGGATGTGCTTGCTTTACTTGTATCTTTAGTTGTGGACTGTCCAAGGCATCTACAAACTGATCCCTCAGCAACAACTTGATGACATCGGGTGGCACAATTGGGTAGGCCTTGTGTGTCATACTTTCCAAATCCTGTGCCAGCTCTTGCAGGCTCTCCCCTTTAGCACGAACTCTCGTCCTAAACCTAGCCATGTAGACTTTGGACTGATTTTGACTTCCATACCTGAGTTCTGAAGCAGCTACCAATTCTCTATAGTTGTGCCTGTCATCTGCTGACAACTGTCCAAGTATTTCCAGTGATTGTCCCTTCAGGCTCATTGCCAAGTA